TCCCCTTCCCTTCCCTCCTATTTCTTTCCTTTCCTTTCCTTCTATTTATTCCCTTTCCTTTCCTCTCCTCTCCCACCCCCCTTCCCTATTCCCCACCCTTTCCACACTTATGATTATTGCAGCATCCCCATGCTCAACCTGATTTACATTCAGATGCTTAACAAATGACTCACATTTACGACGGTTAGCAGTGTCCAGGTGTGTGTGTGTCTTGCAACCACCATTTTCCCCGACCTTCTGATAAACCAACTCCATGGGGAAACCGGACTCACTTAACACCCTGTTACAATTTAACAACCACAGTGATTTACTTAGCAAAGTACTGTGGTGGCCTAGAGGTGGAGCTCTCACCTCACCATCAGGAGGCTCTGAGTTCGATCCTAGGTAGAGGCAGATACTTCTCTCTTTGGACACAATTGAGAATATATCTGCTGAACAAAACTCCGCATTGGTGACAGGAAGGACATCCGGCCGGTAAACACTCTGCTAGCTCCATTCAGTTGCCCGGACTCCACCCCGCAAGGGATTATGGGGTCATTAAAAGGAGATGATGAGTGATTCACTTAACAAAGGTGGCAAGAAAAGTCATAAAACGCGGGCAAAACTCACTCAACAAATTTCTCATTTAGAAACAAACATTCTGGGCTTGTAAACTGAGGACTAATCTATATTGGTTTGAAGTTCCTTTAAGAATATATGCAATCATCATCAGCTATGCATTCTGAACAAATTTTCCTCAGAGTCCTCAGTAGTTTAATGCAGTGGTTGCCAACCAGTGGGCCAGGGACCATTGGTGGTCCGCGAGAAAATTTTGGTGGTCCGCAGAGAAATATCACCCCACAAAGCAACCCCCAAATCCCAGCTGTGCGGGGACACAAGGCTGCGCTGCCCACATGGCCCACGGGAACACAAGGCTTGTGTCGCTTGCATTGCGAACAACACAAGGTAGTGAGGGAAGGGGAGAAAGGGCACAGGGGGGAACTTGCCCCACACGCCTAGCCTGGCCACTGGGACTTCTTCTTTTCGCTTCTTTCTTCTTCTGCTTTTGGCTGCATGCAAGGAAAGCAGCAAAAGTCTTTTTTTCTCTCTCCCAAACTCCACCTGAAATGTGTCTTTGGGACCCTGCAAGGCCTCCTGCTCCAAGAGGCTGCGCTGGCATGACAAGATCTCACCAACTCTGGCAGAGTTTGGGGGAGAGAAAGAAAGACTGCTGCTTTCCTTACACGAAGCCAAAAGTCTCTCTCTCTCCCCCTGAGAACAGAGCTGGAAACGGTATCCTGCGATCCCAAATAAAGAACGATCGATCGGTAGGAAAACGGGATGGGGAATTTTCCTGCAGACTTTTTTGGGGGGATTTTCCCAGGGTCTCTGGTCCGCGGGATTTAAAATGAAGAGTTTGGTGGTCCCTGAGGCCCAAAAGGTTGGTGACCCCTGGTTTAATGAACTACGTTTGAAGTGCTTGGATTGAGCTAAAACAAACAGGATTATCCACCATTTTAAGAAAACACCAGATCACAGCAGTTTTATAAGCTCAAATTCTAAAAGTGTGGTAAACTCTGGTAAGGTAAGAACATGGACTAAAAGAGATTTAAGTTACCTAACAGCTCCATCTACTGACTCTTTTACTTTTTTCCTCCTGTCCAGTTTTCATCTTTGATGTCCAGTCAGTCTATTACTGGAAAACTTTTATATGCCACCAACTTCCCAGCTAGCTTCCTTGGCAGCTGCTTACATTGCAATAATTTCCAGATGCTTTTAAATATCATTTGTGTAGAAAGAGCATTATTACTGTCCTCGGTCCCTAGGTTTTTTTTTTCTTTTTTGTTTCCTTCCATGAAGTCCATGAAGAATACAATCCTTGGCTGTATCGACAGAGGGATAATAGAATCAGGATCAGATTATGTGTTAGCACCACTTTATAATGCTTTGGTTAAAAACAAAAACAAAACCACACACACACACTTCGAATATTGCATCCAATTCTGGTCACCATGATACAAAAAAAGTTGAAACTTTAAATAGAAAGAGTTCAGAGAAGAGCAGCACAGATGATTAGGGTGCTGGAGACTAAGCATGCAACAAATGGTTGTGGGAACTGGATATGTCTAGTCTAATGAAAAGAAGGACTAAGGGAAGAGGTAGGATTCAGGCAATTCGGACTGATTTGGGCAAACCAGATGTTAAATTTGCATCTGGTTCGCTGAACCAGTAGTTGAACCGACCGGCCTCACCCCACCCAGGAGTCTCCACGCAGCCCGTTTTGGATACAGGTAAGTGCAGGATCCACGGGAGGCTCTGGGAGGGCAAAAACGGCCCTCCCGGAAGTTCCAGAAGTCCGAAACAGGTGTGTTTTTGGCTTCTGGAGGGCCTCCAGAGCCTGGAGAGGCTACTTTTGCCATCCCAGAGGCTCGAAGGAAGCCTCCGGACTCTGGGGATGGCGAAAAACGGCCCTCCCGGAAGTCTGGAAACGGGTCTGTTTGGGGCTTCTGGAGGGCCTCCAGAGCCTGGGGGAGGCCATTTTCACTATCCCAGAGGCTCAAGGGAAGCCTCCGGACTCTGGGGATGGTGAAAAACGGCCCTCCCGGAAATCCGGAAACAGGCCTATTTCTGGCTTCTGGAGGGCCTCCAGAGCCTGGGGGAGGCCGTTTTCACCATCCTAGAGGCTCGAGGGAAGCCTCCGGACTCTGGGGCTGGCGAAAAACGGCCCTCCCGGAAGTTCTGATAGGCCATTCCCACCATTGCTACGCCTACCCACAGCCACGCAGTGAACCGGTTGCTGGGATTTTTGAATCCCACCCCTGACTAAGGGTGACATGATAGCAGTCTTTCAATATTTGACAAACGGGGGGTGGGGGGTGGGGGGGTGTCGATCCATTTTCCAAAGTACTTGGGGGAGGGGCAGAACAAGAAATAATGGATGCAAGCTTATCAAAGAGAGATCCAACCTAGAATTAAGGAGAAATTTCCTGTCGGTGTGAACAGTTTATCAGTGGAAAGGCTTAACTCCAGAAGGTGTGGGTGCTCTTATCGCTGAAGGTTTTCAAGAAAAAAAATGGACAGCTGCTTGTCTGGAATGGTGTAGGCCAGGGTCTCCTGCTTGAGCAGTGGGTTGGACTAGAAGACCTCTAAGGTCCCTTCCAACCTTGTTATTTTGTATTCTCTAAGGGTTTTTTTTTTCCCCCATGTTGTTTCAGATCGATCACTTTGGTTTTGCTGAAGACCGCACGTTCAAACAACGCTACCTGATTGCAGATCAGCACTGGAAAAAAGACACCGGCTCAATCCTTTTCTACACCGGCAATGAAGGGGACATCACCTGGTTCGCAAATAATACGGTACAGGACTACCAGATTCTGTAACAGCTTTGCTCCCTGTGCCATCCGTCCTGGTAAACTCACCAGACTCCTTTTCCTCTCCATAAGCATGTATAATTAGGCTGTGTTGTTTCTCTGTGTCAATTAATATATGTGGGTATATACATCATTTTGTATTTATTTATCTTGTCATGTTTATGAAGTGTAAAATTGGAGGTGGTGACCCTTTAAGAGCTGTATGCAACGAAATTTCATTTTTAATGTACGCCAATTAATGTACATTCAAAGTGACAATAATGTTATTCTATTCTATTCTATTCTATTCTATTCTATTCTATTCTATTCTA